ATTCAATTCTGATATTTCTTTGTTGATTTTTTTGTCTAGTTGATCTATTTGTGACAGTGCTATACTGAGGTCCCCTATTACCCTTGTATTAGTGCTTATTTGATTTTTCATGGCCGTTAATATTTGTTTTATGTAATTGGGTGCATTGTATTTGTTGCATATATATTTATGATTGTTTTCTCTTGCTCTTGAATTGTTCCCTTTACAAGGATATGGTGGCCTTTTTCATCTTTCTTAATCAGTCTTGGCTTGAAATCCACTTTGTCTGCAGAGAATAGTTACCCCTGCTTTTTTCCAGGTTCCTGTCACATGGAGTATTGTTTTCCATCCTTTGAATTTCAGTCTGTGAATTTATTTTTAAATTAAATGTGTTTCTTGTATGTAGCACATTGTTGGATCTTGCTTCTTGATCCATCTGCCAGTCTGTTTCTTTTGATTGGTGAATTGAGATCATTAACATTGATGGTTATAACTGATCTGTATTAACTTAATCCTTGTCATCTTATTTTCCATTGTTGGCTCCCTTCCCCCCCCGCCCCCGGCCCTGTTTAATTGCCTGTCTTGCATGGTAGATTCATTTTGTTGGGGTTCATGGAGTTGTGGTCCTTGTAGTCTTCAGAACATTTTGAAGTGCTGGTTTGGTGATCATAAATTTCTTCAGGTGTTTTTTGTCATGAAAGTGTCTTATTTCTCCATCAACTTTGACAGTTTTTTGGGGTATGCCAATCTGGGCTGGAGGTTGTTTTTTATTTTAGGGCTTGAAATACCCTAGCTTACTCCAAGCTCTCTTTGACTTGAGGGTTTCTGTTGAGAAGTCTCTTGTGATTCTGATAGGCTTTCCTTTATAGGTGATTTGCATTTCTCTAACAGCTTTTAATATTCTGTTCTGATGTTGAATTTCTGGAATTGTGACTATTATATGCTTTGGAGTAGATTTGTTTTTGATCTTGGCTATGCTGAGTGTAGTGTTGCTATATTCTAGCAACACACCTATAATCCCAGCACTTGGGAGGCTGAGGCAGGAGGATTGTTGGGAGTTTGAGGCTAGCCTGAACTGCTTAGCAAGACCCTGTCTCAAAAAGACCAAAAAAAAAAGATCTTGGCTAATTCGAGTTCTATATGCCTCACTTACTGTATGTAAAATTGTTTTTCCATGCTTGTGAAGTTTTCTGCCATGACTTCTGTGAATAGGCTTTTTTTAATGTCATTTGCACTATCTCCTGCTCTTTTATTGACTTTGATCGGTCTTATCTTATTCTTCCTTACCTGATCTAGCAGCTATTGTATTGATTTTTTGGGACCCCTTGCTATTTTTAAGAACTTTTTTCATGATCACTAACCACAATCCTGTCTTCTATATCTGATGTGCTGTCCTCCTGTTGGCTCATTCTGCTGTGTATACTTTCAATGGAATTTTTTATCTCCTGGGTATCTACTTGAATCTGTTTTTGTGGATTTCATTTTTTTCCTATGTTGGAGGTTCATGGTTCCATCATTTTCCTAAGCTCCTCTTTTTTTATGTATATCTGCTGTAGAGTCACTAAACATGTCTTTCATTATGGTCACCATCTCTATAGTTATCTGAGAAATTATTTCTGATTTAATTTTTTTCTGAAGCCTCATTCATCTGTTTTGCTACTTCTGCTGTTACTACCTCAGAGAGTCCAGGTGGGTGGCTTTCAGATTGTTCTATGTTGTTGCCTTCTGGGTTTGCCTTTGGTGAGCTGGAAGTTGGGTTGCATCTTTCTTAGTGTCTTCTTTTTTTTTTTTTCCTTTTTAGTTTAGTTTAATTCCTGGGTTGATTCCTGTGTTCTTCTTTGAAGTCTCTTTCTTTACTGTCCTGGTGGGCTTTAGTTCTTGCTTCAGATCTTTGCTGGGTCTTGGAGACTCACTTCCCTTCCTCTCTTCTTGGTGTTGCTACATTCCAGTATCTGGACACCAAATCTCAGGAATCAACCCAATAATTAAACTGAATTCCCTTAGGAAATTACTACTTCTCAGAAATGTCTCCCAGATGAGGCTGGCTTTTGGGTTTTGAGTCTGATGCAAGATCCTTCTTCTTGAGTTTATTGGAGATAAGTTACTGCCTATTTAGCCTAGCCCCTGGTTCTTTGGCACTGGTGTATAGTATTTTTTTTTTTTTTTTGATCCTTATGAAATCTCAGTCTTTGCATACCATAAAGAACAACAGACTAGAGCAATTATGTCACTTTGGCTAAAGTATAATCAGCAGTAACAATAATATCAGACATCCTAGAAAATGACAAACTGTGGTAACTATTAATTTGCCACCTTTAATTGTATGAACTAGATTTGTAGTTATAGAACAAAATTTAAAACAAGCTAGAAAATTGTATATAGTAAATATGTCCTCAGTATGGTAATTTTACCCCCAGGGGCAAAAATTTAAAAGGGGTTGAGGGAAAAATAAAGAAGTAGAAAAAGAGGAAGAGATTAGAAGCAAGGCAGGAAGACAAAGGAAGATTATGTAAACATTTTGAAACTGGTGAAGGCAGGAGGGAAAGAGAGAAGGAAGAAATAAATAATAACAGTACAAAGAACAACAAAAACTAGAAAAATGTTCATACTCATAAAAACGAAAACAAACCATCAAGAAAAAGAAAAACAAAACAAAAGCAAGAAAAGAAATTAAGAAAAGTAATTTCTACTTGAAGTCATACAAAGTGGCCAGACAGAGTTCAGGATCTGTGTTGATTAATCCCAGCAAGCCAGCCATAGATTTATGTTGGGGGTGTAGATAATCCCAGCAAACCTGCACCTTTAGTTCCACCAAAGTTCAGGTGGGTTTCTGGCGGTGAGTATGAAACCCTATTTGTTCAGCCTGCGACACTCAGTGTGCCTCCTGCCTGCTTGAACTGAGCTCCCTGCTGGCTTGAACTTGGCTTCTTGACTGCCTGCTGACTTGAACTGTCTTGAACTCCTGCCGATTTGTACTGGCTTCAGCTTCACCCTGACACTGGGAGCTGCTAGGTGGAGCCACCCCACAGCTGCTGTGAGTCCCAAGCTTGCCCCCTCTCCAAGATGGCTACCAGCCAATCACCCTCTCCTGGGGGGCATCTGAAACCAAATGACTCACCAGCCACTGCACTTCACTATGGCCAATCTTCTGTTCCACTAATATGTTTCTTTGTGGAGGCCTCTACAGTTGCCAGTAGTCACTGTACATCTCCAGGTTTGAACTGCCACTGCCACATAGTGAGTCAGGGCTAAGGGAGCAAGTGCTGCTTGCCACCTCCTTGTTCTTATTTGAAGTCTCTTTCTTCACTCTCCTGGCGTGCTTTAGTTCTTGCTTCAGATCTTTGCTGGGCCCTGGAGACTCACTTCCCTTCCCCTCTTCCTGGTGTTGCTATATTCTAGTATCAGGACACCAAACCTCAGAGAGGCTCTTTCTCTGCTGTTCACTGCTCTGTCTTCCTCGGAGAAGTCATGTATTGATTTTTTTCAATAGCCAGTCATCTAGTTGTCAAGATGTAACTTAAGTAATTGATTATATTGACCCAAATACACCCACTTAGAGCATTCCAGGTTGGCAACAAGATAACTAGTTCCCATATATCAGTTATGTATGTCAGACAGTATGCAAAGTGATTAATGTGTGTTAATTCTTGTGTGTGTGCGCGCGTGCATGCGTTGTGTTGGGGATTGAATGCAGGAGTGAGTGCGTCAGGGCAGGCTGTCTACCATAGAGCTATAACCCTAGTCCTCTTATTTCATTTAATAGTAGCTATATGACTCAAGACTGTGACATTGAACTTTAGAGAGGTTAGGTCAGCTGCCAATATAATCAGCCGTGACCTGCATTTATCTGATTTCTTGGCCAAGCTCTGTTTACAAAGTATTAATATAAATTTTCTTCTACAGTTGTATTGCTGGAAATAATTCCAAGAAAGACCTTTCAAAATGTTTTGTTCCACTCACTATTTTAAAAGCGAGCATTTGTTTGGATTCATCTTTTAATGAGATGACAGTAAGCCACAAAGAGGGCAATCTTTGCAAAATGAATGTCAACAATATTTTAAAGCAAGAATTCTTCTTTCAAGCTCACCTTACTTCCTTTTCACCCCACATGGCTGGTCAGTTCTTTTTCTGGAAATATTGGACTGATAGGGATCACACTATGTAACTCCTTGTCTGTCTGTCTGCAGGGAGGTTTTTGAAGCCCCACTGTTAATAGCATTCTCTTATACTTTATGGCTGAGTATACATGGGAGTTTTCGTCCTCAAAACTCCAGGATTTTTTTAGTGCTTGATAAATAGTAGCAGTCCAGTAGCTTTGAAAGAATGAAGGGCTGCAGGCAAAGGAAGTAGATAAGGATTAAGTACTTTGAGCATTTAGCTTTATCTGTCTAAAACATATTTTTAAAATCTAAGTACAAACTGGGTGCTACCTGGATGTATGAAACCAAACAATTTGTGATCATTTACCCAACATTTTAAAAATATATGTAAGTGTTTTCTGTAGAAAAATTTAGACAGCATAAGAGAAGCAAAAGTGAAAATAGAAATTGCCACATTTTCATTGTCTAGAGATACCTACTGCTGAATTTGGTGAATAGTGTAACAGAATTATTTCCTGTGCATAAAAAGAGATTATGATACACAGACAATTTGGGCTGATGAAGTGGAGATTTACTATGACAGCAAATATTTAGTTAAGCAAAATTTTCTCCTTTGCAGGTGAACTTGATGCCAATAAATGTTAGCTACTAATTATTTATTACAATTGTGTTTTACCATTTAACAATTTACCATTTTTAGTTTATCACTTTTTAACATTTACCCTATTCTACCATTTTTCATAATTTGCCATTACAATTATTTACCTCCACTGTGTAACACTTTATTAATGCCATCATTATTTGATAATAGCAAATAAAATCTTAAAACAGTGAATATTTTTTAAGAGGTTATCACCTCGAGTTGTTGATTGGGAATCTAAAAATACTCAGATTGCATTTTTCTGTCTTCTTTTGTTGCAGAATACTTCAGAAAGTCAGAGCTGTGCCAGAAGTCTCTTGATGGCAGATAGAATGCAGATAGTTGTCGTTCTCTCTGAGTTTTTTAATACCACATGGCAGGAGGCAAACTGTGCAAGTAAGTAATTCTTTCATTTTCATGTTTTGGTTTCATTTTCGTGTTTTAGTTGTAACTCAGTAGTATAGATACCGTTTCATTTTTGTGAAGTGTAGAGTCTCTGAAGCTAGGTAATATTTTTTATACTCAGTTCAAGTGAACTGCATTAGCGCTATAGGGTATTAGTGGTAACTACTTGGGCAGATACCGAGCATTAGAAAAGTATAGCAGTTAATAAGATGAGCTTTGAAGTCAGGCATGGATTTGGTTTTAAACTCTATGACTTACTAGCTGTCAGATTTTGGGCAAATAACTTTGCCTCTTGGGACTTCTGTTTCTGCATTTGTAAATTGGTGGTAATATTGGAACGTGTTTAAATGGTTGTTTTAAAAATTAAATGAAAGAAATTGTACAGAAGGACTTAGCTTAGTTCTTGGCGCATAATGTTTAAGAAATGTTAATTTTGATATAATAATAGTTATGATGTTTATAATATGTCACATCGTGTGTGTAGGGGGTGTAACATCACCAGCTTTGTAGGTTTGTTTTTATGTAATAAAATATCTGTTTTCAGATATTCCTTGGAAAAATTTAAATCATTATTTCAAATTCAGGTAGGTTTTGAATTCAGACATGTTTTGAATGCTGCTAGGTATTCTTACCTTCCCACCTTTATAATTTAATGAGGGAGAAAGACATATTACAAATATTACCAAGGGAAGACAAACATATGCGTTAATGAAATTATAATCTTTATCTTACTAAGTAATCACTTTAACTATAATCTTTACCCAATTACATGGAAGCACTTTGCATACATATTTGATAAAGGTAAGAGGAAATTTTTCTGAAAAATCAAGAATATTCAGATCATTTTTAAAACTTCAAAATTTAACAGAGCTTTCTTACTTAAAGCATAGTCTCTTACAGTGTGGTGAGATACTTGTAACAAGAGTAAAGGAATTTGAAGGAAGGAAAAAAATGGAACCTAAGCAAGGTGACTAACAAGTCAACAATTTAATATAATTTCCCAAGTTACGTTGTTTTCATAACCCTTGCCTAAATGTGAGCTTCACGATAAGCCCAGTGAGATATGAGGAGGATGAAAGAGTGTGGAAAAACTGCAGATAGAATCTAGAACTGAATCCAAAGCTTTTATGATTGTTCATCTGAGTGGACAGTGTATTTCATAAGTTAATGTCTAAATTTTTTTCATATGGGGGATTGAACCCATATGGGAGAATGCTAAGCACATGTTCTACTGCAAGCTTTTGTTTTTTATACTACCACTTGGCAAATTCATTGCTGTCTCTCATTTGAAGAAATATAAATACACTGTAATTAGGCCCAGTATAGTTTAACTTTTATACTGCAGACATATTTCATATGTACAAAGTCTAATCTTTTACTAAAAATATGTGTTAATCCACACTTTCTTCCCCTAAATATCAACTAGTACTACATAATAGGAAAGAAAATTGTTAAAGTAGAATTGTACATTTTCTAATGCCAACCTTCAGCAGTGATGAAAGCGTAAGCATCAAAGGTCCCCCCCAGGTTGGGCCTTACAGAACTGAGTTGGGAAGGAGTTAGGAAGCATTCTACTGAGCTGTATCCCTGGCAGCATCAGGTTCTCGTGCATCCACATCTTTAACAACCTCAGATCTGTTAAGCCATTGATTTTGTTGGATATTTGCTACCTTATTTTCTTTAAACACCATCAACTTCCTACCTATCTGGTCTTTGTTTCTTTTAAGTCACTACCCTTTTTTTTTTTTTTTTGAGACAGAGTCTTATCGTGTAGTTTAGGCTGTCCTTGAATTCACTATGTAGCCCAGGCTGGCCTCCAATTCATGGCAGTCCTCTTGCCTCAGTTTGAGTGCTGGGATTATAAGTGTGCACTACCATGCCCAGTTTAGCCTTTCAGAAAGTGTAAAGGAATATAAAGTGTATTTGCTCTTTTAGTAAAATGGAAAAAGACAGTCAGGTCATTGTAAAATTTTAAACTAATTGTATACATATATAAAAGAGCACAATGTAAGTATTCAAAAACAAGTTTTTAGATTATTTGCCATTTTATTTAATTTTTTTTATCTGCCACAAAGAAAAACTGATAGTTTTCTTAGAATCTATGTGAAATGGTTAAGCACAAATGATTTTTCTTTTACCTTTCTCTAGTGATCTGATTTTTAAATGTGCATATACACAGCTAAGTGATACCAACATTAGAGATTTTTTTAAAGTCTAGTACTTACAAATAAAAATGAGAAAGAAAAAAATTACAGAAGAAGAACAAAGATCAGTAATCCCCCACCCCATGTTAGAGATTAAATCCAGGACTTCATAGATGGCTTGGAAAGTATTTAACCATTGAGCTACATCCCTATCCAATTTTAGTTTAGATTACTTTAGGATAGGATCTTTTAACTAAATTGCCCACATGGGCCTCAAACTTGGAATCCTCCCACTCTAGCCTGAATTATAGGTGTGTACCACTACAGCTAGCAGAATGTATCTTTTGATATAAAATAACTGTTCCTTTCTCCTTTCTTACCCTACTAAATACAAAACTGTAATTATATAGGTAAAAATATTCTTAAATGTATTAAAGGGGCTATCTTAGTCTGTGCCATTATAACAAAATATCACAGACAAAGTAATATATAAAGAACAGAAATTTATTGCATAGTTTTGCAGGCTGGACGTCCACAATCATGGCACTAGTAGGTTCAGTGTCTGATGAAACTCTGTTCCTCAAAGGTGGCGTTGTCTCTTCTGTTCTTACCTGGCAAAAGGGACAGAAAGGACAAAAGGGGCGCATACTGTGTGTACACATAGGAGAACAGTGGAAACGTTAACAATGACAAAACTGCATGTGAAGCTTCTTTGTAAGGCCTTAATCCCATTCACAGTGGGATTATTTAGGGACTCAGTTGTGAGCCTGGAGAAGGTAAACAAGTTACACGTATCCAAAATGCAGTGGTGGGACAGGTACAGGAGATACATTTCTGTTCCAAAAGAGAGCACTGGGAAAGAAGAAAGGGTAATGGGTCTCAGGGGAACCCAAATCTGAACCAAATAGTAATAAACCTTGAGGCTTTAGCATCATCTTTGGCTCCATGTCCTGCTTTTAGACACACTGGGACCTGAGTCCCTAAAGCACTGGGTGACTCCACACCATCAGCTTTGGAGTCTCAGTCTTTGGCTTGCCCAGTCTGGAGCCCCATGCAGGTCTGGAGTGTTGGTAGTAGAGCAGCCTCATAGTTTCTGTAGCCGTTGCCTGTGTCCAGCCTCTCTGGTGGCCTGGATCACAGTTCTGGTAGGCATTGCTTGAGTGGAGACTCTGGTGGTTCTGACCCCACAACTCAGCTGCATTGCTTTGTCAGGGGTCCTCCGTGACAGCCCTGCGCCCACAGCTCCATTGGCGTTGATCTAGAAGGAACCCTGCAGCAGCTGCATCCTGTGGGATTTCTTCGCCTGATCCTCAGGGCTCTCCCAAGTGGAGGTAGCGATGCCTCCACAGCTTGAATACTGCTTGCCTGCGAAGTTAACATTGCATATGTGCTGCCCAGGTTTACAGCTCCTTGTGGGGCAGTTGGTGAACGCTGCACCTGGGCCTACTTGAGCCACAGTTGAGGCAGCCATGAAGCACTCTACAGGGGAGCGGGGGCATCAGACACTCAAGACTGCTTTGGGCATTGCACCTCCAGGTCTCACTGAGGCCTTCCTTGAACTTGTGCTACCCTCAGGCCCTGGCACCCGAGTCCCTGGTGGGAGGTGCAGCCTTGAAGATCTTGGAACTGCTATCTAGATCAATCTCCCATTGTCTTCATGAGTGACATGGAGCTTCCTTTTTTCTGTACTAACGTCTGTATCAATTTGGTCATACCCTTGGTTTTGTCTTCCAAATGCACTCTTAATATGGCCAGGCTCAGGCTTTATATGGCCAGGCTTTATATGGCCGAATTTTCTAGATCTCTATGTTGTGCTTCCATTCTGACTGTAAATTCCACCATTAACTTTTTTTGTCTCTTTTCTCATTTTACTATGAGCAGCCATCCTGGACCCTTTGCTAAGAGACTTCTTCCATCAAGCATCCTAGTTTGTTTCTCTTAAATGCTGCCTTTCACAAAGCAGTAAGACAGAGCATAATTCTGCTCAGTTCTTTGCTACTTTTTAGCACTGATGGCCTTTCCTCCCATTTCCAATAAGGTATTACTTATTTCTAAGACTTCATCAGAACAGCCTTTACTGTCCATATTTCTACCAATGTTTTGTTTATAACCTACATGGTTGTGTACAAAATCTCTAAGACTGAAACTTTCTCCACAGCTCTCCTCTTCTGAGCCCTCACTAGAACTGCACTTAATGATTCATTCACCATAATGCAGACTTTTTCCATTCACAGTCCTCCGTGCCTCTACCTATTACTTTTTCCATGTATTTAGGTATTTGTCATACCAGCACTCTACCTCTCTGGTTCTGATTAGTCTTCATCAACAAATTACCAGATTAGGGGGCTGGCGGTGTAGCTCAGTGGTAAGAGTAGTTGCCTAGCATGCAAGAGGCCCTGGGTTCAAGCTCCAGTACCAGAAATTTTATATATATATATCTGTATCTCTCTCTATATATATCTATAGATATATATGTATATCTATAGATGCATATATTGATCTATAGATATACATATATATCCTGTAGTGCTATTTGGGAGGCTGATGCAAGAGGCTTGCTGGAACTGAAGAGCTCAAGGCCAGACTGGACAACATAGACTCCGCCTGAAAAAAGTTTTTTCAGCACATGAGTTTTGGGGAGTATACAGTCATATGCTGCATAATGACATTTCATTCAACAGCGGACTACATGCACAAAGATGATCCGGTAAGAGTATAACAGAGGTGAAGGGTTCCTTGTAGTGCTGTAGTGGTCCTGACACAACACATTACTCACGTGTTTCTGGTAATGGTGATGTAAACAAACCAAAGCTGTTTTGTTGCCAGTTATATGAAAAGGTAGTACAT